TTTATTTCTATAACCTAGACCCAAGCCTAGAGGGTCATTTCTATAACTTAGACTTAAGCCTAGAGGCCATATCTATAATGCTTAGGATTTTTTGAAAGGCATTTCAAATGTAGGCCTGGGTATTTCATAGTGAATTTTCCATAGATACCCAGTGCATTTTCTGCGAAGTTTCAAATGCAGCCCTGGATATTTCATTGTGATTTTTCAATAGATACCCTTGGTATTTCATTGCGATTTTTCAATAGATACCCTGGGCATTTCATTGCGATTTTTCAAATGTATCCCTGGGTATTTCATTGCGATTTTTCAAATGTATTCCTGGGTATTTCATTGCGATTTTTCAAATGTATTCCTGGGTATTTCATTGCGATTTTTCAATAGATACCCTGGGCATTTCATTGCGATTTTTCAAATGTATCCCTGGATATTTCATTGCAAAATTTCAATGGATACCTGGTGAATTTCATTGTGATTTTTCAATGGATACCCTGGGCATTTCATTGCGATTTTTCAAATGTATCCCTGGGTATTTCATTACGATTTTTCAATAGATACCCTGGGCATTTCATTGCGATTTTTCAAATGTATCCCTGGGTATTTCATTGCGATTTTTCAAATGTATTCCTGGGTATTTCATTACGATTTTTCAATAGATACCCAGGGCATATCATTGCGATTTTTCAAATGTATCGGATATTTCGTTGCAAAATTTCAATGGATACCTGGCACATTTCATTGCGATTTTTCAATAGATACCCTGGGCATTTCATTGCGATTTTTCAAATGTATCCCTGGGTATTTCATTGCGATTTTTCAAATGTATCCCTGGGTATTTCATTGCGATTTTTCAATAGATACCCTGGGCATATCATTGCGATTTTTCAAATGTATCCCTTGGTATTTCATTGCGATTTTTCAATAGATACCCTTGGCATTTCATTGCGATTTTTCAAATGTATCCCTGGGTATTTCATTGCAAAATTTCAAATGTAGCCCTGGGCATTTCATTGCGATTTTTCAAATGTATCCCTGGATATTTCATTGCAATTTTTCAAATGTATCCCACATGTCAGGGTCCATGCAATGGGCTTCCCTGGATGGTGCTCACATGACCAATTACCAAAAATGGTCAAAAAACGAAAGTTGTAGCCCTACACTGTAGCTTCCCGAATCTGTTTGAATTATGTTCTGAAGTGCTCCCGTTGTGGATATATGAGGTAAAGGAATTTCAAAAGCATCGCTTTTTTTTTTTTTTTGTGCTTTTCTCTATGAAAACAAAACCAAATAACATGATTTCAGTACATTCAGAAAGCTAAAAGAAAGGGCTACAATTATTGTATCGTGGGAAATA